GAATGAATGAATGAAGCTTCTTCCCTCTACATAAAGCTGACCATCATAGGCTCCTAGAGCTACCATGCCAATGATCCCTTGGTCTAAAATTGTTAAGTACCACTTTTCGTTCCAAAGTTCTTTGCACCATCACATCTACTAGGCCCAATTCAATTTTTTTTTAATACTTCTGGGAGTGAGGGTCTTACATTCTACTGTGCATGGACACAGGAGTTATTCAAGGTGTCCAGGTGCTGGTCATGTGTGACAGTGAAGCTGTAGGAAACCTTGGCTGCCACTCTTTGTTCATCTGTATTATTCCCTGCTCTGATTTCTCCCAGGCCCAGATAATAAGAGAATGGCCAGGAATGTCCTGAAATATGAAAAGCTCTTAGCAGAGAGCCCCAACCAGGCAATCACGGAAGCTGTCATCCAGAGACCCAATGTACCCCACCTGCAGACCAGAGACACCTATGAGGGGTTATGTCAGACTCTGGGTTCCCAGGTAGGATTTCTCAAGGAAAGAGAAAAGGGGAATGGGCTTGGTGAGAGAGAGAAGGTAGAATTGGGACAATGTGAGGAAAAAGGTTGATTCATTAAAAAATAATAGAGCTCACTTGGACAGCACCAGTGACCATATTCTGAATCTCCCACATTCCAGTTTTTTATGCTGTATTTCCCCTAAATTAGTGTCAGCTCCTAGGCCCTTTCCTCTTATGATGATTTTGGTCTTTCCTTCCAGCCCACTCACTACCAGATCCCTAGCCTCTACTGCTCCTATGAGACCAACTCCAGTCCTTACCTCCTGCTCCAGCCCATCCGGAAGGAGGTCATCCACCTGGAACCCTATGTTGTTCTCTACCACGACTTTGTCAGTGACTCAGAGGCTCAGAAAATTAGAGGGCTTGCAGCACCATGGGTAAGTGTCACCAAAGCCTGCCCAGAACTACCGTTTGTGTCTTCACATGCCTGGAGTTCATGAGTGTGAAAACAGGCAGCCTGAACAATCAGACATTTCATTAGTCCAAAAGTTCAAAATACCAACCATTCCATTAAACTAGTCAGCAGTGGGGGGGGAAAAAAATCACAGTAGTGGTTGCCTCTGGAGAGAGAGGATTGGCTGGGGAAGGGGACAGGGGATTTTCTGGGGTACTAAAAATATGTTCTCAATATCTTGTTAGGGATGTGGAGTACATGACTGTATGCATTTGTCAAAATTCAGCAAATGGTACACTTGAGTTCTGTACATATCATTGTATATAAATTCAATCTAAAAAAAA